GGTGAATTCAGTGGCTTAATCTCTTGGATGATACTGTAATCTATCCATAGCATTGCAATTTAATTGGATTAAACTTTAATAGGTTAGAAAATTGTTTCCTCGTACTTGTATCAAAAATACAATGGATATGATCTATTGTTAGCTGTTATTCATATGAGGTGTAAAGTTTGGTGTGTGTGTGTGTGCGTGCGTGTGTGCTGCTTTAAATGTGTACGTCACAACTCTAAGTTAATATTTGATTTGTATCCACATTAGGACTTCTAATATACAGACTTCATGACTTCTGTTTCTTTTATTTTCCTTTCCTGAGCTGGCTATTTTTTTTTTTTTTTGTGAGGAAGATCAGCCCTGAGCTAACATCTGATGCCAATCCTCCTCTTTTTTGCTGAGGAAGACTGGCCCTGGGCTAATATCCATGCCCATCTTCCTCCACTTTATATGGGAGGCCGCCACAGCATGGCCTGACAAGGGGTGCATCAGTGCACGCCCAGAATCTGAACCCCGGGCCACCAGCAGTGAAGCGCGTGCACTTAACCGCTACGCCACAGGGCCGGCCCCATGAGCTGGCTATTTTTAAGAGCCAGTCCTGATTGTAATTGTAGAGTTTTAGTTTACCTATTTCTGAAAAAGGCTGCTCCTCTTTGGGCAATGCTCTCAGAAACCCAAGAACCCACAGAATGTTTGGGAAAAATGGAGACACCCATCTACCCAGCCCAGTCACTCAAATAAGGTGAGAAATAGGACAAAGCAGTTGTCACAGTTAGTGGGCTCTCATATATGAGAGTAATATTACCAAATTAAATTTACCTTATATAAATTCAAAATATTCAAATATTGTTTATGTGACTTGAATCCATTTCCTACACCAGTCCAGGTGGCCAAATAAAGTCTTCCTGTGCAAATAAAGGCAAAAAGCCAAAATAAAACAAATAAGTAAACCAAAAAAACAAAACCCTATGATATTCCAGGAAGCCAAATAAAGGCTTCTTGTACAAATAAAGGCAAACAGCCAGAATAAAACAAACAAAAACACTCACCAACTAATTTAAAACAGAAGGACAGAGGAATTCTTATTTTTTGAGCAACCACTTACTCCTCTCCCATGTCTACCCTAATGAAGAGATGAGTTGGGCTAATGGTAATCCAGAAATTTTGGATGTTAGCTCTGACAAGGCTTTGCAAGCATCCCTTGCAAGGATTTTCACATGTATCCCAGCTTTAGGCTACTCTGGGGAGGATAAGGGTGGGTGTCCTTGCTGCGTGTATGAGCATTTGGTAATGGATAGGGCAGTTCAGGTAGAATTAAGGTCATTTCCTTTGAAAATTTTCCTTTTCAATTCTTATTACTTAAAACAAAATAGTAATACTCAATAGTAATACTTTACCTCATACCAAGTGCTATGCATTGTCTATTTTATCTATTCCTCTCTACAATTTTTTATTTTAGATATGTGAAAACTGAAGTTTAGAGAGTGTATTAGTCAGCTCAGACTATAATTTTTATTTATTTATTTTTTTTCCCCCAAAGCCCCAGGAGATAGTTGTATGTCATAGCTGCACATCCTTCTAGTTGCTGTATGTGGGACGCGGCCTCAGCACGGCCGGAGAAGCGGTGCGTCGGTGCACGCCTGGGATCCGAACCCGGGCCACCAGCAGCGGAGTGCACGCACTTAACCGCTCAGCCACGGGGCCAGCCCAGTCAGTTCAGACTAATACCATAGTAACAAATACCATAGACTGGGTGGCTTAAACAACAGCAATTTATTTTCTTATAGTTCTGGAGGTTGGGAAGTCCAAGATCAAGGTGCTAGCCAATTTGCTTCCTGATGAGAACTCTCTTCCTGGCTTGCAGACAGCCACCTTCTTGCTGTGTCCTCACGTGGCAGAGAAAGAGAGAAAGAGACACAGAGCACACTAGTGCTCTGGTGTCTCATCTTATATGGACATTAGTCCTATTGGATCATGGCCCCATCCTTATAACTTTATTTGACCTCCTTATAGGCCCTCTCTCCAAATACAGTCACATTGAGGTTTAGGGCTTTAACATATGAGTTTTGAGGGAGACAATTCAGTTCATAGCAGAGAAGTTAAGTGACTTTCACCAGGTCACAATGCTGTTGAGGCAGCAGAGCCAGGATTTGAATCCAAGTAGTTTGTCACTAGAACCCCTGTTGTCAACTGTCTTACAGCTGTCTAATAGTCTCATGGATGATTATAAAGTTGGCCAAGTTTATCTTCTAGACTCTTCCCATCTTTCTTTCTATGTCCCATACTCTAGGCATACCCCTCTCACCTGCCTCCATCAAATCTTCCCTGTGTTCCAATCCCTCAAGGGTTCATCTAATTTGTGTTAAAGATTAATTCGTTCCAAAAGATTTGCATATTTATGAACAAAATGCCCCAAATAAGAAGAATGTCTCCCCACCCCCAATAATTGGATATTAGCTTTTGGAATATCTGGCAGACATAGTTTTAAAGAGATTCTGTCCACATCTCTCAGATCACTCCTTATAGCACTTTGGAATATGGGCTCATACTACAAACATTTTCTACCAGTTTAGTTTTTCTTCTTTGATGCTTTAGAACAATATTATTTAATTCATTTTGTTAAATATCTACTGCTCTATCCTTTTCTTTTTATAAACAAAGATTTATTAAGCACTTGCTATATATAGGACATGAGTGGAAATTTAAAAATAAGAGATGGCCCTTGCACTCAAGGTAATTAGAGGAACAGTATGAAAACAGACTAGTGTATAATTAGCTATAATCTAAGTATACTATGTTAAGTCACAAAAGAAAGATCTGAAAAAACGATATTTTTAATGAAATTTCAGAGAATGAAGTTAGATAAGAACTTGTAATTCTTTTTATTTTGTTTTACTTTAATTTTATTTTATGGACAATGAGGCACTCCTGAAATCTTTTGAGTAGGTAGATAGCTTGATGTGATTCATTTTCAGATCACCTTTTTAAAATAAAGAGGAAGATGAAGGGAAAGAAAATTCGGGCTATTATAATTGTCCTAAGGAAAAGTCTACAGAAAAGAGAGGTTGTAAATAGTAGAACACTTTTGTGAGTCTAGGGTTTGGGGCTTGAAGTCACATTTTATGAAAACATTAGTGTTTCCCCACATTTTATCACAAAGGATACTTTTGATCAGGGGTGTTATTCAAAATATTTAATAACTGGTATGACACACGTTCTGACTATCAGAACAGGACCAATCAAAATAGACCAGGTCATAAATATGTAATTAAAAAGTGTGACCGTACTGGTATGTACTGGCTGAATGTCAGGCCTGCCTTTGACATTGATTTTACAGCCTTGGATTTCATGACTTGCAAGATTCTACTTGTTAAACACATTTCATAAGTTAAGTAGAAAATAACTTATTTTCCAATTTCTTGATTTAATAATACACTTCTATAATTTATATCAGCTTAAGATCAGCATAACACACTAAACTGATACAATTTTAGCAGCCATCTATAAAACTTGGCTGTCAGTTGGCCTGTATGGCCTTATATCAAGCAAATGTATAATTACCATTAGGTATTTTGAAATATTAAAATATTTATATAAATTTATAAAATTCCGAGAGGACAGGTAGACTGTGGTCCTCAATTAATAGTGTTGATTTAAGTCATGTACTTCATAGCCTGGAGATGTTTTCAAAATCACTCTCTCTCTCTATACACACACACACACACACACACACACACACACACACATTACATAAATGTCTTTATAATTGAAATATTCTTTAGTTGACAAAGTCTCTGTCACTCCCTTTTGTTTTACACATTTATATTATATTATTTTACCCACCTGGCCCCTGAAGGCATATGTATTTGTAACCCCTGATTTAGCTCTTTATGTGTTTTTGGAGACATCATTTTGTTCATGTCATAGTCCAATTCCATAGTCCAATGAGTCATGCTGTGATAGGGTTTTAAAAATTTCTGAGTTGGCTCCATCTCTTGAAGCACTGTTAACTCAAAAGATTTTACTATTTACATGTGGCAGATTCTGCTTGAACTGAATTCACCTTGACTTCCATTTTAGTTCAAAGACTTTCTAACTCTCTTAAATTCTACTATTGGCCAAAATGATTTTGAAAATCACAGTTGTCTTTGATAATATGAAAAACTTCTCTTTTTGATTTTTGTTTTGATTCTTTCTTCTACTTACGTCCCCTGCTCCTCCTCTGAAATCAGTTCTCTCAACACTACCTGTCCCCAACCCCCGTCTAAAAAGCATCTGTGATCTTGAGTACTCATGATCGTGCCCTTGGCCCATATGTGCAAGCTGGGACCAACTAGTAACATTCTTGTGCCACCTTGGGTTTGCCTGTTACCTTCCTGCCCTCTCTATTGCTCCCCCAGGACCACTTGCTGATGCGGCAGCAAAGTCCAGTCTAAGATGTGGCCAACTTTGTGCTCTAAATGTGCTGGTCTTCCCCTCCTATTGTTTCTTTAAAGATGATGGATGATTTTAGTCAGGACAATGTAGAAGGGCAACTAGAAGAATGCTGAATGGTTACAGCCCAAGTGGCAGGTATAATGTCTTTTTGATGAACATTAATGGGCTAGGGTGTACTTGGGGGAAAGTACGTTACAAGGACTTCGTGAGAGAACATGATGACCGGACCCGGCAATTCTTGGTTATACTCACAAGAACTGAGTGTTCGCACATCTTGACTTTTACACAGCACTGCCCATATTAAGTAGGGGAATGGATGGGAAACAAATGGCAGAACTTGCGGAAGCTTTTTTTCCTTCCTTACAAAAAAAAGGCAGATGATGTTTTGAACACAATTTGCCATAGAACATGAAAGCATAAGAGTTCTGGCTGTTTGAAGGAGAAAAAAAAATGTCGATTTTCTTTAATGGTAAAAACTAGTTTTATGTTCTCCCAGGAGCTTAAAGAGAAAAGCATTGAGAAATGGGAGTGAACAGCAAGATAGGGTTTGTGTAACAAGTACCTCAAACCACAGAAGTCACATGGGCTCTTTCTGCTTTGCTACTTTTGATTACTTGTCAGAGGGTTATACTTTTAGCTTCCCCCATCCTGCAAGGCCACTCAACCATGTGCTAGCTGGAGTAATCTTTACTCACAATGTCTTTACAAAGGCTCATGCAACACAGCAGCAATGGCAATTTGGTGGACTACTGTGCTGGTCCAGTGTATAGCTCTTACTCTACACTCACAGGAAGCCTTCCGATGGATGACAATAGAAGGATTCAAATGCTGGCAGACACTGTGGCTACTTTGCCTCGGGGAAGAAAGCAGGTATGATTGCTATTTTGTACCTTTTAGAGTGTGCCTGTTCTCTTGAGAGCAGCGTGATGTGTTTGTCTGACTTCATACTAAAAATGTTATTTGAGAGGCTTTGAAATTACTAAGAATATAGGTGAGGAAGCAGGCAAGGAGCCCAGAGAGCTCGTGGACCAGTCCAAAGATTTAAGACCCAAATAAAACTTTTTTTTTTTCCAAGGCAAAACTTAAAAGATTGTTTTTCTTATTTGAAGAGGCATTCAGGTAAAATGAAAATCCTTAAGCACATCAAACTTGAAGATGGTGTGTATAGACGTGACCAGTTTGAGAATTGTTGATTTTTTTTCCCTATACGTCTCCCATTGATTCTTTCCCCCGCAGCCTCACTCCCAGTCCTTGGTAGTCATTTCAGTTCATTATCAAATGAGAGTATTTTTTTTGAGGACAAATTTTGTGGACTAAATTATCTTCAGCTTTGGGGCACGGGCACATACCTTATGCTATTGAGAATTAAGACTTTTGTTGGGTAAGTGAGTGCCAGATTGAACACCAGCTTGGCCACTTAATAGCTGTGGGATCTTGAGCAAGTCACTTGCCTCTCTAAGACTCAGTTTTCATTTTTCTAAAATGAAGATAATAATAGAACCACCCTGTGGGGCTCTTCTGCTGTTTAATTGAAGAAACATGCAAGGCTTACCACAGACACTGACGTGTGGTATGTGCTCAATAATTATGCAATTATTTTTATTTTTACTGTAAAGTATTTCCCTAGAGAGGAAAACTCATTTGGAAAAATCCATGTCCAACTGAACGTTTTGTGAATTTTTTTCATTCTTCAACTTTCAATTTGTAAAAAAAAAAATTAAACCATAACACCTCTTCAGATTTTGGTTATAACTTACTATAATGCTCCAAGTACATATCTGAATCTAGATATAATACTTGTACAGAAAATACTTAGAATTGCTTTAAAGCATGAATTTTTGCCTTTAAACCTTGCATGTACATTACCTTCTCCCCTTAAACCTTCTAATTTTAGGATTAGAGAGTTATAGCATAGTGGGAGAGTCATCATCGGTTTTTGGTGATGTACATAGCTGATTCCTTGGTATTTTTCACGACGATGATAAGGGCATAATTTGCCATGGTTTGGATTATTGATCTTTTTCAATCCCAAAGTGCTTTTATGACATTAAGTGTAATACAATGATGAACGTTTCTATCAATTTACTATCTGACTGAAAATAAAGCAACTCTGAGAAGTACCAAAGTCTTCATTCAGTTTTCAGACATAGAGCAGTGGAGGAGGTATGAAGATAAGAAGAACATGTTTCTTGCCCTTATAGGGTTTACATTTAAGTAGGCAAAATGAATAGGTGTTATACAATGTAAGACAACATAAATACTCCAATCCAAGTACATATCTTTAAGTATAACCTTGAAAGATAGATCTTCCAGATATTGAAGGGTATTCCAGAGCAAGGGAATAATTAATGCCGTGGCACAGATCTTGGGGCCTTTAGGGCTTGTTTAGGTAACAGCACATTGTCATATCAGGAGGACTCGGTAAGGTCTGTGTGGGAGGTGAGGGGAGACCTCAGGGCTGGGCTGCTTTACAAAACACTTGGACTCTTCCCCTGGGGAAGCAGTAATCTGACCAGCACAGGGAACCACTAAGTGTGTTTGAGCAATAGAGGTTTCAGGAACTTTATTCTAGAAAAGTGCTGTCGGTAAGTGACTAGAGACTAATGGTGAGGGAGCAACTTTTACAGTAGTTAGAGAAAGAAGAAACAAGAGAATGGAGAGGAGGCCCAAAGACTTCAATATGAAAGGCAAGGAAGATGGAGGAGTCACATCTGGGGTTTAAGCCTGAGGGAAGACAGCATGAACTGAAAAAATGCAATCACTAGAAGATTATTGGAAAGAACTGGAGGAAGATAATGAGAGGGATATTGGCATATGAAATGCACGAGTATGTGTGTATACATAGATAATATAAACATGTACACATATACGTACACACATTCCCACACCAATTAATTTATTTGTGTGTTCTCATCTTCTCTAGGTCTTCTCTTCTCCCTTTTCTCATGTTCTTTCCTGTGGTAGACTCCCCCTATTCAGACAGCTTTTTGTTACTGTTGTGAGAATTACTTTAAGAAAAAAAAAAGTGAAACAGACCTGTTGTACACAATATGTCTGGTGCTGTACAACTACCATCAATGAAATCTGATGCAAGTTTATACCAACATTTCAGAATTTTCCAAATGGGTGTTCATTTCCTTTAACTGGTTTTTAGAGAAGAATCGCCCATTTGGCACTGACTGAATTGCAGGCAACGAGATCCCTGTAAGGCGGTCACACGGGCAGGTGTTTCTCTGCCCACTGTTATTTTCAACCTCTCGGGGCTGACGTCAACAACTCAGACTTCTCGTTATTGTTGGCTCTGGTTTCTGCAAAGCTGTATCTGGTTAGCCTGTAGTTTCAGATTCATCTTCAGAATCATTTGGGTGTTTACACTCAGAATTGTTTAAAAATAGATTTCTGTGTGTGCATGTTATCTCAATACCTATATTTGTAGGAGGTGACAGACACCCCAGTACGGCTCCTACTTCCCAACATAGTTCTAGAAAAAAATCCCTGCAGTGGAAAACACTGTAGGAAGGAGACGGGAGGGAATAAGGATAGTCTTTACAAAGGTGGTGATGCCAAAGGAGTAGCGACTGTACCTTACCGCCCACTCTCCCAAGGGTAGTATGTTGCTTTTGGGAAGTAGTTTTCACCAAATGCTAGTGAGAATCAGGGACCTGACAGAAAAGCAGATTGAATGTGCATTAGTGGTACCACTGACTCTCTTTGCCTGATTTTCTTTTGGTTATCAAATTACTACTAAATAGGCAACTTGTGGCAGAGAGGTTTCACTTAAAAGTTCAGATATGGAACATTGTGCTAAACTCTGTAATGGATGTATTTCTAGGATTGATTCTGCCATTCGGGAGCCTTCACATTATTTCTGGCTGCACACCCATCTGTTCCCCAAACTCCCAAGTGTTCCTAACTTCAACAAGGTATTCTGATCATTTAGTGGAAACTTTTAGGTAGAAAACTGTGTTAATTTCACAACAAAAGAATTTGAAAAGCACTCTCTAAATCCTACTGCAGCATGCTTGGAGTCAATATTCAACATTTTTCCTTGAAAAAGAGGTTCACGAGCTCACAATAAGACTTCCCTGGGAAGGTGTGACATTCTGTTTGGGTTGCTTATGGGCACTTACAAGTTAGGAAATTGAGTTTGGCTCTAATATTTTGCTGTATCTTGGAATATTCTGTACAGCCCTGCTATCCTAAGTCTCCTGACTTAAAAGGGAAAAGAAAAAAGTTGTATTCATGGAAGAATTGGGGAGAGTGAGACAGGGGACTGGATAGGGAACAGAGCACATAATTTGGGGACTTTTGAAGCAAACAACAAAAACAAAACACCTCCTCTGTGCATAAGTATCCTCCCTTCCCCCACGCCCTAACACTTTCAGGAAATGAGAACACAGACTGGGGACCAGGAAGTAACAGTCTGCTACTTAGCAGCAGAAGTGGCTACAGTATTGAACTTTGAGCTCCTCTGAGGCGGGCTGGCTATCTGGCTGAGCTGCAGATTATCCCTATCTTGAGCAAACTGACAGCTGAAGTATTTGCTCTTGATTTTCCACTAAAGAGGGAAGATGTGAATCACTGTATAGCAGCAAACATTGCATTTTGAATATTAATGTCTGGTCTTTTATGTCATCTGACTAAAAACAAAAGAAGAGGGATCATAAGCCCAACCCCAGGCATCTGCGTATTAGTGGCAAGCAAGGGGTTAAGGAGCTTTGCCTACTCAGCAGTCATAATTAAATGTGTAGTTTGCAGGCCTGCCAAATTGCTAAACCTGGATTTCTCATATTAGATAATGTGTAATAAAAGACAGCTGCTGCCAGCATATGCTGTTCATTGCACAGCAGTTCCTCATTCATGAGTTTTGGTATCATCACTACCACCCTGAGAAAAGGCTTCAGCTGGGAGAGAAGTCTGGGGAGCAGGAACTCCACTAGAGAGATCCTAGAATAGGGCTGCTCACTCCAGGGAAAGGGCTTAGGGAAAATTTCTTTCAAAGTGGAAGACTTTGATAAGACCTTAGACATACTTCATTTCACTCAGGCAGATAGTTTGGTGTGCAAGCAAGGTTGAACCCTGAGAACATTCCTTTCCACATCGCCTGAGTCTGACAGCCCAGATCAAAAACAAGGAGGCTTCGTGTCAAGACGTGGCGCGTGTCAGAGAATTTGATGGTGCCTAATTTATTTAAATTGTTTTTTATTTAAATATTAGGTGCCTGAGACAGGCTCATTGCTAATCCAGAGTGGAAACTAATTTATAATTTGACTTAGTGTGATTTTTTTGAGTGTCACTGATAACTCAAATCAGTCAGTCCGCAGGAATTGAGTATCTGCTCTGCATCTCACATTGTGTTAAGCAAATATTTTCACTTTCAACTAGTCAATTAGCAGGATAGAAAAGTTAGCAGGAGGAGTGGGGAAATGTTTTTCTCTGTAGAGGTCGTGGATTTGTCTTGTGGACACAGAAGATTTTAGATTTGAGTCTGTCTAGAATGACTTTTGATTTAGAAGGCAGGTGGAGGGTTGACCAGATGAAATCCTGAGGTTCCCATTAATGCTATGATTATTTACCTAGCAAAAGGACATTGAAAATTGCTGAGGAATTTTAATAATTCATTAATTCTTGCCTCCATTCGTTCATCTGTCAATGAACTAACTTTGTTTTCTATTAGTCTTTTTTCTATGGTTCTTGCTGTTTTTCCATTGAGTTTTTTTTCAATCTTGTTTGTTTTCTTTCATTTTTAATCTTGCTACGTTTTGGAGTTTTAAATTTTATTTTATATTTTTTAATGATTACCCTTGAGTTTTTCCCATGAATATTTAATTAAATGAAGAGCAAAGTTGAAGAATATCTTAACACCTTCCCCTGAACTTGAGTATTTCACTTGGGATTCCCACCAGCACTTATTTGCTTGTATTGGTGTCTAGTAGTTTACTTCTGTTTGTCTATTTAGCTATTTTTAAGTTCCACTCTATTCCAGGCCCTGTGCTAGGCATTGGAGTAGAAACTAAAACAAACACATTCCCCAAGAGGCCCCAATACACAGATAGTTGTGTATAAAAGAGAGGTATTTGATCCAGTATGCCCTTCATATAAATATACATATATGCTGCCATATATATGAATATATGAATAATTTGATTAATATTGATACGAGTAATATTTTAAAATATAAACCCTTGATACAGATAACATAATTAGATATGACCTATCTAAGGACCTTACAATCTGAAATAAGGATAAAAGACAAGCAGATGCAAAGAATGAAAATAAGATTAAGAAAAATGTGAGTACATATAAGGGAGAGATTGAGGATGCTTGGGAATATCAAGTTTATTGCTCTTTCCCAAGAAGGCAGCCCACTACATAGTTGTTAATGGTATACATCAGAACAAATTCAGACTGAAACAAACCATACAAAATGTTGTAGGCATTCTACAGTTAGTCCTTATAAATTGAAAATAGATACTTTTTAGCAAATCTAGAGAGTCTTTTTGGGTCTGAACCTTCCTATTGCAGTCTTCAGGATGATTATAAATGATTTGCGGTCCAGAACTGACAAGAGAGGAAAATGTAATTAATTTACATCAAATTGGTGGGAAGAGATGAGCTCTCTATTGCATTAACTTTAATGACCAATGGCTGAGTTCTGAACACTGAGCCATTCCAGGTAATTTGTGAGAATGTTGGCATTTGGTACCTGATAATTTGAATTCTTTACAATGATGTAGGCTTCTCTCCCAACAAATGTCTTAATGAGCATTTCATTTGTGCATTAATTTCTTCTATGTGTTTTTTGCCTTCTGGTTTTCATCTTCTGCTTATTTTATTTTTATTTGTTTGGACTGACTATGCATTTATCTTCTGACATCTTATGTATTCATGATGCATGACAACTATATTAGGTTAACAGATAAACACCGTGGGTGAGCTAGTAGCATGAGCTTATGTTTTGGGCCCTTGGACCAACACTTGAGAAAGGGCTAATTAACATTTGTTAATTCCTAAACAAACAAACAAAACAAAAAACACACAAAAACTCCCTGCAGTCAACAAGATGCCACCTTTTGTTAACTTTTCCTCTATTTACAATAGTAGAATGTATCCTGAAAGCTTATGTTTATATAATCTTTTTCCAAAACATGCAGAGGAATGAAGGTGTTATTATTTATACCATTTATCCCATTCTAGGACTCTTTTCCTTTCTTGGCTGGAAATCTCACTGCACTCTTCCAAAACAATTGCGAAAATAAATTATAAACAGAATTGAAGTTTTGAGTCCCTGGTTTCACCTGATTTGTGTTTCTGTACATGAGTTGGTTGTTTAGAGATTATTTTATCTTGCTAAAAACAGTAACATGTTGAACTATTACAATAAACACAGTCATTTCATCAGCATCTCCAAAAACTATCAAGTATTTCGGTTTTATATGCCAATCTATGGGTGTTATTTTTCTTTGGAGTTCAGTGTGGTTATTAATTACTGTGGTTAATCTTTCAGAGGCTATTCTAAATACAGATTAGATATGAAGTTCTTTTTGGAAGCTTTGGAGTTTTGCCACATTAACTCTCTTGCCACAGTGTATTATTATCAGAGCCTCTTTTAATCTTTTAAACAGAATGCCTGAATGTTCCCTTTTCCAGCAATCCTTTGCTATCACCAGAGAATGGAAATTACTGCCTTTACGTAACAATTTCCTAGGAAATTGGGCCAAAGAAGGTGATAAAGAACAAAGTCCTTTGTGATTTAGAACATGTTACAGATGTGTCTTAAGGACCTTTCAATAACTGTATGCTTGTATTTTTCAGCTTGCTTTGACGAGATCAAGTTCTTTAGGTGACTTTTCCTGGCCTCAAAGGTAAAGAGATTCATTTATTTTTTGGTCTTTCATGAAGATATTTAGGAACATAACTCTCCAGACTGTTGATAAGACACACACACACACACACACACACACACACACACACACACAGTCATACATACTACAATTTACATAAATGTCAGCTATTTTTAATTGTGAGTTATTTTTAATAAGTATGTGCCAAATGTGATACTATGATCTTCATGCACAGTTATTTTTTTAATTTTTTATTACAGAAAGCTTGTTACTGTGGAAAAGCAGGATAATGAAACATTTGGATTTGAAATTCAGGTGGGCAGCTTTACAATTTTCCAGACTTTTAACAAAGAGAGTGGCATTGCTAGTGTCTTGACATTTGCAAAGAAAGAATGAAGTCAAGATTAGAGAATAATGGGGACTGTGACTTTTATTCAATGTGTGGCTGTTTTTGGTAGTTTTTCAGTGTGTTGGATACCATCAAGGAAAGAAAACATTGAAGTAGATAAAATAAAACCCTGAGACATGCTCAGCTCCTTGTTTTTAGTTGCTTCAGTCTTCCCTTAAGTCTCTAAGACTGACCAGAAATGCTGGATATCAGCCACGTCTTAAATAAGAGAGAGAAATACTCTTTATAGATGTGCATTTTGTATATTTGCATTTTTGATGTGTTTTGCATTATCATTTTTTATACTGTATATCAGATTTTAAATCTATACTTTGGCGTTAAAGAAATACTTGAAAGCATATATATTTGTGTGTATAGACTGCGTGTATTCATATGTAGCTTCTGTTACATTTCAAAAATACTAAAGATTTCGTATTGTATATAATGAGAAATTTGTACTTTGTTTTTCTTGATGACAATACTTTGTAATTTTTGTGTGGAACACTGAAGGACATTTGGCTCTACTTGGATATTGACTCATGCTCTAGGAAATTTTTAACACTCGTTTTATATTTCTGTGTAATTTCCTACGAATTTCATTTCTTATTTGCTATCTGCTTTCTCATGACCATATGTGTAAAGATGGTGAGTTAGGCCAAATGAAGTCGAGTCCAAGTCAGTGCGACAGTAGTAGCTTAAGTATTACTGTTGTTTTTTTCCATAACACTTTTGCATTTCTTTTAGATGAGTTTGGCATAATCATATTTTTATACTGTACATCAGCTTTTAAATCCTAGTTTTGGTGCTGCTTTCAGAAAACTTTGGTGACTGTGTATCAGCCCCACAATTGGAAAGTCAGTGTATATTTTAAGATTAGGAACAGGAATCTGCTAAGTAAAACATGATTTATGAATAAAGAAACAAAATGGAATCTGCTGAAATGAAAAGGGAGAAGGCTATAGGAGAAAAGAAGATACCTTCTACTTTCTGAATTCTTCTACTTTTAAATTTGGTGCATTCTGTAATTCTTCCATAGCACTGCTCTCTCTAATTCCCCATTCACATGAAACACTCCCTTTTCTGTTTTAGAGACACTGTGCTTTTTGTGACTGCTTCTTTTTAAATGAGAATTATCCTCAAGGATGTGCAGCAATTGCTTCTGAAAACAGGATCAATGACTACTCACTTATCCTTATTTAACGTGACAAACGAGGATTTTTTTCTTACTCTTCTATGATATGTGTCACTGCTTCCCCATGTTTCTCCTCGACACCATAAACACTTATTCTACATGGAGCAAGAATCAAAATCATCATTAGTAGACAATAGGCTACAGTACCGTGAACCTTTGTAGATCAACATGAGCTGATGGCTTCACCTCTGAACTGCAGCATGGGTGTTATCTCAGTAAGGCAGGAATCCACTCCTCTGCAAATTCCTTTTAGTGTATGCTTTCCATTACCAGCTCCACACTATAATCTATTCTCTAGTACTCATAAGATTTGGAGTAGTCATCAAATAGGGGAAATGCTCTGGGAACTTCTCGAAGACCAGATAGAGTCTCATGTACCCATATTGTGCACCCATTGTTAATACGTATTTGAGTCCTGGTCTACCAGGTGAAGGGCGTGTTGGAAGGAAACAAGTTCACTTCCTCTCTGGTTTCCTATGGGTGCTAGCTTTATGCTGCTAATGAGAATCATGCAGCATGATAGGAACACAGACTTTAGGTTCACGCACACCTGAGTTCATGTTCTCTCAATGCTGCCTTATGGGGTTCTTAGGAGTTTCCAATGAAATAACACATGTAAAATACTTAGTAATGTGCCTGGTACCCCAGTGGAAGATCAGCAAATGACAGGCGTTAGAATGAAGGTCACTGGGCGTGAGAAAGGGCAATGTGACTTTTGTGTCTCCGAGAAATGTAGGTCATCATTCTGTCCTTGGCCCGTAAAAATGGGAACTAGAAGACTGGGTGAGAGAGAAAGAAATAGCCAACTTCCGACTGTACTCACTCTGATCACAGGCTATGGAGGGTCGATTCTCACTGCTAATGAGAATCGTTATAACAGTAGTTTCCCAAAGGAGTATCTGTTATAGATAGTATCTGTTATAGATAAAGGTGCCACATGAACAAGACCACCTTTCCATCTCTGGAAGGATCCAGGCTGTGGCAAGAAGACTGCCTGGAAGAAATGTTAAAGGGGTCTTTGACATAGATAGGAAGTATATTACATGATCTTTAATAGTCGCTTCTACCTTTAAGATATGGGGATACTAAATGCCTTATAGAGTGAATAGAAATCCCTTACAGGTTAACAAAATCAAGTTTCTAGAAGTTCCTTGCAGGTGACTGACTTCTGGTTCTGGAGCCTGTATGTCCGTAAGGTAAGAATGATTGAACATCAGACAATTTCTCCACAAGATAGCAGTACTATAATGTGGTTTAATTTTAGGAATCAGATGTTTAAAGGACTTACTCAACTCAGAATGCTGATTTTGATCCTAAATAGAACTAGACCTTATAGCTTAAATGTGTGAAAAGAAAAAATAGGTTTGTCTAACAAACATTTATGCTGTGTTCTTGGTATAATTTGGAAAAAACCAAAAAAAACAACAACAACAAAAAACCCAAGCTGCTTTTGCCAAACTGAGACAAGAGGTAAAGCATGACTTTTTCTAATTTACTTGGGTGATTAATGAACCAGTGAGTATTCAGGGCAGGCGTACTAGAGAGTGCTCAGAAATGAAGGTAATTGAGTCAATTATAGTACTTTGAATTAATGCAGGGCAGATTGTCATTATTTGCAGAACTCTGATTTAAAATAATTATTGTTGGCATATCTCCCTTGCTGGATGTGTGCTGTTTCACACCCTCCTGTAATGAGTGCTTTAACTTAGGAGAACCACATAGAGATTTTTCTTTGATCTTGACCACTATTGTTTCCTCCCACTGGGAAATGACAAACTTAGTTTTTCTTAATAAATGTGCAATAATGATAGCGACAGGGGTCTCTTGGACTTGAAAATATAAAATCTTGAGCCAGTCTTATCCCACTTTCTTTCTTAAGCCAGATTATTTTTTGGGAATAGGATTGGCTACAGATTGTGTGGTAGAATTGCAAGATTGGTATCTTTGATTCAGTTTATATTTGGGAAAGCCTTTCCAAATTGTTCTTTGCACTTACCTATTATACCACTTAAGGTAACTGACACCATTTTATTTTTCGGCAAATAGATATTGAGTTTTTTGAATAGTAATTGTGTATCACGTTAATGTTCACAGACTTACAGACTCCAGAACCAGAATACCTGCCCCTCGGAGATGTGCACACTGATCTGCAAAGTTGAGGAGGACAGCGCAGCACACCGTGCAGGCCTGCAAGCTGGTAACTTACGACTTTTGGCTCCTGTTAGGAATTACTTAAACGGCAAGAAAACTTTTTGATAGTGAAGGTCAGGATGTGATTGTTGCTTCAAATTTTCTTAGTTCCTTTGTGTTGCTAAGGTTTGGGGCTTGCTTGTTTTGTTTGATTTGCATGTCAGGAGGGATTATTTCACCAACTGCTTTAACACGCATTTTTCTTGGTATCTCCCAGGTGATGTCCTTGCAAATATCAATGGTGTGAGCACAGAAGGCTTTACCCACAAACAAGTTGTTGACCTGATCAGATCATCAGGAAACCTGCTAACGTAACTATCCGTCTGCTTCCTGCAGGGCTTCAAAAATGTTAAGGTCTCTCATAGTGCCTGTTGAGTGAATGAATAGGCTTTTTGTTCAGGATCACAAGAAGGGAGGCATAGCTTTGGGTACAGACGTTTTTATCAGTTCCTTTTGTTTCTCAAGGTTTCCTCGAACTTGAACATACTGTCAACATCTGAAGTCAGAGGACTTCAATAGCCCAAACGTCTGTGTGGGAGGCGTAGCATTGAAAACTTTTATTTTGTATGTCAAATTCAATTAAACCGGCACACATTCTCTTTGGATGGAAAGGCACTGGTCCAGTTTCCATGGTTGATATAATCTCATGGTTAGAACAAATAAACGGTCAGAAGGGCTGAGTTTTTTCTTCTTATATCACAGGCCGATTGTTTTACTCTTCTGGTGTTCCCTTTGGAAAGAAGAACAAAGTTTGCTCAACCCTCCCTTCCTTGCAACACACACACTTACACCTGCTAATATTCCAAACTTATTAATGGGGCATTGGTCTCCCCAGTGAGAAATTTGACTGACTTTTCCACCATACCATCCTTCGACCCCCATAAGATCTTAGTAGCTAGTTAAAAGGTGGAATTTGCTCATTTGTTAAAATGATATTTGTTGGGCAAATACTGTTTCCAGCTCTGTGATAGGCTCAGGGAAGACAAAGACAAAGACTTTTCTAGTGCTTTATTAATTGTGGAAAGAGATGGGTAAGAAAAGCATGCAAAATAAGTAATTTTGATATTTCAAATATTGATGACTACTATGAAGAAAGTAAAATAAGGAATGGGACAGAACATTGAGAAAGAGGGCTGCCATTTTACCTTAGGTGTTTAAAGTGATCCTCTCTGAGGAGGGGAAACTTGAGCTGAGACCTAAATGAAGAGAAAGAATAAATATGAACTCCTGGTGAGAGTCTTTCAGATAAAGGGAGAGGTCTCTGAATTCTCAAAATGGACTTGGCACATCCAAGAGATAGAGAGAAAGCCAATGCAATTGGTGGATGGTGGTTACGGAGAGAATAGTAAGAAATGAAGACAGAGAGTTGGCCATGGGACAGAGCATGGGTCTCATCAGCCGTGCCAAGTTGTTTAGGTTTTATTCTGATTAAGGTGGGTTCCTATATTATCTCACTTACTCTTCACAACCACCTTATGAGGTTAGTTTTATTCCTATTTATAGATGAAGTGACTGGGCTTAAATGAAGGCTTTGTTAAGGTCAACCATCTAGTAAGTGACAGGGCTGGTATTTGACCACCTGCTCTGTGTGCCAGGATCTATTCTCTTCTGTTACACCACAGCTGCTCATTGCAAGCTGCCAGCAGAAAATCCGCTGGATGCTCTTCAGTGATTCTAGTCTAAAACTTCAAAGGATATTTTGGGTGTGTGTGGGAGTAGTTTTTAAAGATGACTGGTGGTGATAGAGGACTGAGTCCAGCTCTATAGATCCTGTGAGTTCAGGGTAAAGGATGGGGGAACTCTTGCTCCAGAGAAACCTGAATCTAGAAGGTAGGAACCATATAGAGTCCAAGAGAAAATGCTGGTGGTTAGAATCAGAAACTTATATTCCAGTGGGTGCAGTAGGCAGACCTCAGGTGGATAATTAAGGAGTAATGGGCGGAGACAATTGGAAATCCAGAGATCAGTAAAATGAGAGACAGTCTGTACATATAGTACTGAAGAGAGCGGCCAAGCGACGCCTACGGTTTTGCCCATAGACATCTAGTGCTTGGGCAGGTCGGATCAACATTAGGAGTCCCAGTGAAACAGATTCATAGGGATCCTCACTATTTCCCAGAGTCAAGACCACCCTCTTGAGAAAGCAGACAGCAACTTGGCTTGCTAGCATCTCATTCTTTTGGGCATGATGCTATTATAAATAGAGGAAAATTGGTCTCCACATTTAATGCCATTATTTTACCATGCCTTTAAAAATTTCTTGCATCTTTATAAATAGATTTACAGCTTATTTATCAGAAGGAATTTGAACTACACTTTAAAAATGCTTAGGTGTATGACTCACACACGAAATTTATTATCTTATTCAGATTGATGGCTTAGTAGTCAAAATAAAGGCCGCTAACTTGAGCCCACAAAACAAGTCAAATCACTCAAGATAGAACAAGTCTATTTATTTTTAGAAACACGTTTGGTATAGATAGGGAGAAAAGAACATCATTATATTGGTAATTTTAGAATTAAAGTTTGTAAACAAAATGTTTAGAGATGAAAGAGTCATATGAAGGTTATTATCTTGTAGTAGTTCTGGTTCTGTTTATCCTAGCTCCAAAATTAAGGCAATTTACAGAGGTAAAGGCTTCTAGAATCCTAGGGAGGAAAGGATTTCTTCCTGTTTCAAGAAATAGCATGTTGATTTCACTGTTTGAAAGTCCCTAGTGCCTATTGTTTTCCCTGCTGTACCCCTCACGCTCAGCACGGTGTCTGGAGTCTGGAACACAGTAGATGATCAATACACATTTACTAAATGAAAGAGGTGATTCATCCAGACCCCATAAGAATAGATTCTAGTAGAGAGCAAACATCATTGCCATACAGTAGCTTCAATAAAATGGGCTGCAGTTTATAAATTATCCAGACTCTTTATTTTCAGCCACCCTCTCAAGGGGAGGTTTTTTTTGTTTTTGTTTTTTGCCATTTTCTTTCTCTGAATGTTGTCAGAAGATTTGGCCTAGGTCGGGATACTTGAAGTGCCACAAGAATCGTAACATTTCTGTTGCTTTTTAAGGAGAGTGTGTGCTCAAAGTGTAGTACTCCATAAGGATGGCACTTGTTTGAAAGAATCACTCATGCTATTCCGCTCTTGTTTCTTAAAACAGGATAGAGACTCTTAATGGAACAATGATTCTCAAAAGAACAGAGCTTGAAGCAAAGCTGCAAGTTTTAAAGGTAATTTAATTTAATACAGCGAGGCACATTTTTCATCCTTGAGTGTGTGAGTGGTAGAATAGAGATCTATTTGAGGAACTGAGATAGCCCTTGAAGATGAAATATCGTGATGAGTCTAAACTGCTGAATTATCAAGAGCCACACAATTACCTTTGCAGGAATGTTAAATTCCACAAACCAGTACAAATCACTTTCTTCCTTCCTCTCTGTGTCTATGAGGCTCAGAAAGGCAACAGGAAGGCAGGTGACTTCAAGAACTTTTCGGGAATGCACCTGCCATCTCTCTTGATTTACATTTTGTTTGGGAAAAAAAACAAAGTAGGAGCTGGTCTTTTCCTCATTTTCCCAAGTGCTGCATGTGTGTGCAGGAGGGCTGGAATTTTTGCTTTTCCGTTGTCCTCCTCTGTGTCCTTCCATTCTGCCTCATTCTTACTACAAAAATCATGTCCCTCTACTTCCATGGCCGTCCTTGAATTTATTTTTATTGGCAAACTCACTATCAGCTTTGAAGAGGAAAAATTCAAGTTTCCAGGCGATAGTGGACAAAGCAGGATGTTAGGTGAAAATTCCCGGAATGGGTTTTTAAGGGTCTTAAAAATCTTAGTGTACTAGATTGGTGTGGCTCTGCCAGGCCTTGAAGTCCAGATCCTCACTCCTGAGCATCTTAGTCAGACCCCTGCAGACCCCTCCCCAGCCCCAACTGACCTCTTTATCCAGTGCTCCCCACTGCATGGCAATGAGGCGCCAGTCTGAGCAGATTGCACAGCTTGCTGCGGGCAGAGTGCTCACTTGGACTTTGTTTAGCAATAGCTGCTGTTTACTAGTTTTCTTTATGAAGTATCCTCTTCTTAATTATCGAGCCCTTAATTTTTGAGCCTTAATTAGTGAGGGTAGAGTTACTATATTTCTATTTCTATTTTATCTTATATTTCTCTCTTCCCGCACATGTAATTCACCAACCAGCCCTATTTTCTTCTTTGTCAACATTGCTTTTATATTCTTGTTACTTTACTTATCCCTCTGAATTTTTGGAATCAATTTGTAAAATTCCTTGGAAAAAATCCTCTATTCAGATTTTGATAGGAATTGAATTACATTTATAGAATAAATGAGATCAGTGGAGATCTTTATGGTTTTCACTTTTCTTACTTCAAACACAGGATCTCTATCTTTTCATTCAGGTCTTTTATGCACTTCAAAAACATTTTGTAATTTCTTCACACATTTTTACATATCTTTTGTTATATTTATTCTTATGTACCTTCTAATTTTTCTTGCTATAATAAATATGATCTTTTAATTTTTCAGCTGCTTATTTTTGTGTAAATTTTTAAATCCGGTTGTCTTGGTGAGCTCCCTTTATTCTAATATGTTTGTAGATTCCCTTAGATTTTCTGTACAGACATAATATCATCTGCAGATAATGAAAGTTTTGACCCTTTCCCCCTAATTATTCAACTAATTTATTTTTCTTCTCTTATAACATTGGTTAGGACCTTCAATATATTGTAAATAGTGATAGTCTTATTCCTGATTTTAAAGGGAATGCCTCTAACATTTTATTATTACAGTTTTGTAAGGAGGAAATGGTGCTTCATATTATATTTAATTTTTTTTGTGTGTGTGTGAGGAAGATCAGCCCCGAGCTAACATCCATGCCAATCCTTCTCTTTTTTTGCTGAGGAAGACTAGCCCTGGGCTAGCACCCATGCTCATCTTCCTCCACTTTATGTGGAGCGCCAGCACAGCATGGCCTGACAAGCGGTGCATCAGTGCACGCCCAGGATCTGAACCTGGGCCGCCAGCAGTGGAGCGCGAGCACTTGACCACTATGCCACGGGGCCGACCCCTATATTTAGGTTTTTAAAACTATCAAAAGTTATTTGTTTTTTTCAAAATGGAGATAGTGAACATCTTGTAAAAAAAAAGTAAAACATTTTTTTCAGCCTTTTGTAGAAAAGGGAAAGAAATGTGCAAAATAAAGTGGTGATGGTATTCAAAACATAAGTAAAAGATAGGTTTGTATTTCATTGAATAAAGTACTCTCTTGCACAACACATATTTCATGTTTCTAAGCAATTTCTGCTCTTTGAACATTTTCTCTTGAAGTTTTAATATACATACTTAACTATTATTTTTTCTAATAACGTATGAATTTTTCAATGTCTCCATCCTCTCCCAGAACATCATCAGGACCTTAATATGCTTTAAATGTCCATGTAAGACCCCATCTTCCTTATTATTGCTTACTTTATAGCAAATTTTATCAATTTTTGAAATGAAAAAATATAGGTTTTTGTTCCAAATAGCTAGTAGTGAACAAATATATTAACCTGTTGAATTGATGTGCTTTCTGCTGTGTTTTGTGTTCTGTTCCTTACCTCTGGGTTTGCTTTCCTTCTTGCTATAGTACTTCCTTCTGTGAGGGTAAGTAGGTCTTTCTTTTTAAAAAAATATCTTTATTTCACCACTACTATTGAAAGAGAATTTTGCTACTTAGTTGCATTATTCTAAATTGATATTCTAATTGATTCAAAGAAGCACTTTGAATGTTTCTTTGATATTTTTGTTTATGAGAGAGCTCCTAATTGTTTACCCTTTGTAAGTAATCCACATTGTCCATATTTTCTTCCTAAAGTTTTTCCTTTTTACATTTAAGTCCTTAATTCATACATAATTAATTTTTGTATAGAGTTTGAGATAGGATTCCAATTTTATTTTTTCCATATGAATACTCAGTTCTCCCAGACCATTTATTTTATAGTACTCCATTTCCACCAACTGACCTGCAGTGAAACCTCTATTTTTAAGCAAGTTCCATATCTGGATGCATTTTCTTACAGGCTTCCTATTCTGATCCATTGGTCAATTTGTTTATTTCAAACTCAGTTAGTATACCCTTGTAATAAATCTTGATATTTCGGTAGGCAAGCCTTTCAGGTTATTCCTGGCCTTTTGATTCTTTGTATAAATTTTCAAATCAGATTGTCAAGTTCCATAAATAAATGTTGGAGTTTAGATTGATATCACACTTTATAGATCAATTTTAGGAGACTTGACATCCTTATGGTATTGAGTTTTCTCACTGATAGATAATCTCATCATTTTTAATTATTTTCTTTATGTCTTTCAATAAAGTCATAATTTTATGCAAATAGATCCTACACATCTTTTGTTTTATTCTTTGTAACTTATCATTTTTGTTCTTATTATAGTTTCTTTATAAAAATTTGATCTTTTAATTGAGATTAACGTATAGATATGTAAAATAAATGTTTCTATGCTGTTGTTATAATCAAACACCTTGCTAAACTATATAATTTCTAATAAATTATCTATAGATTATTTTGGGTTTTCTATCAAGATAATAACTATCTGTTAATAACGACATTCAGTTCCTTTTCTTACTTTACTACGCTGGCTAAGGCCTACAATACAATAATAAATAGAAACTATAATAGTAGGCATCCTTGTTTTGTTCTTGACTTTAAAGGGAATTCTTTTTTTTTTGTGAGAAAGATCAGCCCTGAGCTAACATCCATGCCAATCCTCCTCTTTTTTGCTGAGGAAGACTGACCGTGGCCTAACATCTGTGCCCATCTTCCTCCACTTTATATGGGACGCTGTCACAGCATGGCCTGACAAGCGGTGCACCAGTGTGCCCCGGGATCTGAACCCTGGGCCGCCAGCACTTAACCGCTACGCCACGAGCTGGCCCCCTAAAGGGAATTCTTTTGACTCTTTCCTTTTAGGAATGAACTCTCTCTGTGAATACACTTTTCAGCTCAAGGAGGCTCCTTTCTGTACCAAGTTTGCTGACAGTTTTTATAGTGCTTGTGTATTAAATTTTATCAAATACTTTTTTATGCATGTGTTAAGATAGTCTTCTCGTTTATTTTTAAAAATCTATCAATACAATGAATGACATGTAAAGATTTTCTAATGTGAAACCACCCTTGCATTTGTAGAATAAACTCAACCTGGTCATAATTTATAATCATTTTTTATATACTTGTAGATTTGATTTGCTAACATTTTCCTTAGGATTTTTGAGGGCAGCTTCATTTTATGGCTAGAATAGCCTGTAATTTTCTTTTCTCAAACTATCTTTCTTCAGTCTTGGTATCAAATTTACTGGCCTCTTAGCATGAGCTGGAGAGTATCTTCCCCTTTTTTTTCCCTCTGGTAGAATTCTTGTAACACTATCTGAATCATCTGGGTGTGGCTTCTTTTTTGGTGGAATACTTCTAAACTCTGTTTCAGTTTCATTATTAGTTATAAGACTGCTCAAGCTTTCTGTTCTTTTGTTTTTTTTTTTTAGCTTATTTATTGAATTATGTTTTTGTTAATGAAGGTTTTAAATTTTCAAATTTATTGCATGAAGTTGATGATAAAAATTCTATTCTCATCTTTTTCTTTTCTATCACAACTGTGATTATGTTCCATTTTTGTTTGTACTACTTTTTATGCCTTTTCTTTTTTTTTTCTTGTAATTCTCTCTAGAAGATTTTCTATTTTTGAGTCTTTTCAAAAACCAGTATTTGGATTTGTGACACTCATTCATCTTTTGCTGGTTGCTTTTAAGATGTACTTTTTTCTTTGCTGATCTACAGTTTCACCACAATTTGATAAGGTCTGGACTCATTTCTAAATTTATACTGCTTAGAATCTACAGTGCCCTTTCAATCCAAATACTTGTGACTTTCTTCAGTTTTGGAAAGCTACCAGTTCGGTCTCTTTGAATATACTTTCTTTACCATTCTCTGAATTATCTTCTGGTATTCCTGTTAGACATATTGTAGAGTTTCTTGATTTATCTTCCATGCTTCCTAACTACTCTTTCATATTTTATATCACTGTATCTTTTTTGTGATTTTTTTCTGAATTCTTTAGTAATATCTTCAGTAACGTTGTCTGTGTTCTGCATAGAATGTGTTCTTTCTATTGAGTTTTAAAAATTAATTAATATTTTATTTTCGAATAACTTTTTCATGTCTATCTGTTCATGTTTTATTTCATTGTTTCAAATTTCTTGTTCTTATGAACATTAATCTCATTTTTCTCTCAGAGGATTATAAATATTCTTATTTTAAAGTCTTTGAACACTTTTCTATTTTCATTTTATTTGGAGAGAATCCATATACTGATGATCAATTTTGTTGTCTTTCTTATTAAATATCGGTGGATGTTTTAGAGTTTAGATTGCCCACTTCCCTTGCGTGGTGGCCTCTCCCTTCTAAGCTCAGTGTGATAGTTGGGCCTCCGTTCTGCACTTCAAAGCTTCCAATCCAGAACCAGGTCTGGCAGCTTGGATTCCTTCTCTGGAGGGTCAGTGCGCTGCCTGGCTCAGGTCATGAGGCTGCATTTATGTACTCCTGCCTCGAGGTACAAGCTCTACATGAACCATAGCCACCATCAGCAGCTTTTCTCAGCCTCCTTTTCATGGTGATGAAGCTTCAGCCAAGGTTCTTTTCTCTAGCAGGAAACTTGTCTCTGTCCTCTGCCTCAGATAAGTGCATTTAAACTGTATATTGCCGTAAGATCCAAATTGCTAGCTACCACTTTCTGCTTCTCCAGGTCCAGCAGACCTTTGGGTTCATGCCTGCTTACCTTCTTGCATTGTTGTTTCTTTTCTAATCTTGAAATTATGAGATTTCCAGTTCATCTCTTGAGCCAGAAATGTCTGGGTCTGACCTATAACCAGAGTCAGCCTGGCTTCCCCTTCACGCAATGACATTTAGTTTGTACATTCTATGTAAGTATGCATTCTTACCCTCGAAGACTCTTTGTGGGGCCACAAACTCTTCTTTAGAAATAATAGTCCCTTCTGAGCCGTGTTTTCAGGGATTCCCTTTCTCATGACCTATGATTCAAATGTTTAACTTGAAAACAGTACATTAACGTGCTAGCTGGGGGAGCTCCTTTTTAATCTAGCTCTTGCTTTACTGGACTTGTAGCCCTTGGAAAATATTTTGCTTCATTGAATTTTTATTGTCTAATCTGGAACTTTTTAGGACATTTAGGAAAATTAAACAGCATATTATTCATGAAAGCACTATAAAAGTAGTAAAGTGCCTTGGAAATGTTTAGCTATATGTCTAATGTAGGTTGAAACATTGGAAATATATCCAATCCAAAATATTCAATATGTGCTAGCTGAGTGTTGTTTCAGGAAGTCATTCTTTTATATATTTGTTCACCCAATACTTGCTAAGCAGCTGCTATGTACCAGGCACTGAGCAAGGCACCCTGAGGTGATGTGGCCCAGTTTGGTTAGATGTCCCCTGTGCTTTAGTTTTCTTCTACTGGTGAGAGGTTAGATTTGTGAAAATATGCAACTGTGATGTTAACAACAGGCAGAAACAGTCTCTGAGGAAAATAGGGAAGCTTAGATATAGACTAAAACCTCTGAGTCACATTGACACATCTCATCTTTATACGGGTATTTTCTTGGTTTAAGTGATGACATACTTCGATGACCGGGCCAAATCAACAGATTGGATATTTTAAAACGCTTACTTTCACAAAAATTAACTATTTGATAAGCCCTGACTTTGTATTTCTGGATAGTAAGTGCAGAAATACAACTTCCTCTTCTCTCTCTATTTAGTTTTGATTGTCAACCTATCTTTATGCTCCCCTACTGGACTCTTTCCTCTTGCAGGAGATAAATTTCTTTAAGAAAGAAGAAAGGGGTTGGTATATATGCCAGATCCTTGCTAGTTCCATACTCCCTGGTTCCCTGACTCTGACCTTCACATGACCACAGGTTTACAGAGATAACAAGAGCTGTGATTCAGGTAGCCACGCAGCCTTATAGCCATATAGACTATATTATAGCACAGAAGAAACCAGAAATTAACTGAGCCAGGCATTTTATGGCTTTGATTTATTGCTTGCATATTATATTGGCAACATAAGGATCGCTGCTAAGTGTTACTGTTATTAAGGCTTGGAAAATCCTGCCCAGTGATTGCTTAGTCACTGAACTGAGCAACCAGCCATTTTTCTCTTAACCATTTAATAACATTCATGTAATTTTATTATTTTCTTTTCCTTAGGCATTCCCCTTCCAAATATACTTTTTTTTCTCTTCCTTATCAGCCTTCATCTGCCCCTTCCAGATTGCTTTGTACAAAGGTCCACTTGTTTCCAACTAGGCTGCCTTTCCTCTGGGATAGGTGTCCACAGGCTAATCTGAGTTGTGCCCGCCTGCTGGGCCTGCCGTGGGGACCAAAATGGCAAAGGAAGGGGTGGAGCAGAGGGCAGAGTGGGCGGGGGACTGAGCCTTTGACTGTGCCTTGTCAGATGGCTTCTACCTGGTTTGCTTTCAATTCCCATCGCCTCAGCCCTGTCTGTGGGCTAGGCCAGGCCTCACGTGCCGTCTTGACCATTACAGTAGCCACTTCATTCCCACTGTGGGCCTCTGCTCTTGTGTGCTGGGCAGCTGAGCAAGGAAGCAGTTAAGAAGTCACGGTGCTTAGCAGTGTTCTAAGTTTAGCCCTCCAAGGATGCCTTTCACAACAGGTCGGCTTCCCTTTTTTGGGGTGGAAAATAAATAGATATCCAGCAAAACAAGCTGGTTTAGTGCCCCGGGCTTACAGGCTGATGATGGTATTTATTGAACATTTCCTGAGTTCTAGTCACTATTCTAAACATTTTACATCTACTAACTCATTTTATCCTCAGGTCAATCCCAGAGTTGAGGTTCTATTATTGTCTTCCTCTTGTAGATGGGGGAAGCCTAGAGTGTAAATCCTTGCCTAAACAGCTAGTAAATGGACACAAACCTAAGCAATCTTGTTTTCTAATATTTTTAAAAATAAAAATATATAAATGTCATTGTTTCTGCTGTCTATTGTTTCTATTGAAACAATGTCATTGTTTCAACTTGTTGGTGCTCCTAGATTATTTCTTGAGAAAGTAGGATTCCCAGTATCCCTCTTTTATGCAGAAAAAGTCTTTCAAATGAATAGAAGGATTGTTAGTGTTAGAAAGAAAAGAAAAAAATTTAATGACAAATCTCACCACCTAGAAGTAAATTGCTGTCTTCACTGGGGTTTCCTAATAATTAGAATTTTTTTCCTTCTTTCTCACAGCAAACTTTGAAGAAAAAATGGGTGGAGTTCAGATCTTTGCAGTTACAGGAACACCGCCTACTTCATGGTAAATGTGATTTCCTGTTCAGAAACCACCTAATTCATCCTTGCAGTATTTCTGCCTCTAAGTTGTCTTAAGATTATCATCTTTACAAGAAAAATTATGTAGTGTGGATCAAGAGTACTAGTCTGTGTTTCTTTGCCATGACCTTTGGAGTGACCTATGTATTTGGAGGAGGGGTAAGTTAAGTCACACCCCTTCCTCCATACATACAACACGTATGCACGTGAAAACATGCACCCGTGCACATGCGTGCACACGCTTGCAAGAGGCACCTGTTGAGTTTAGAAGAGCAGCAGCAGTGATAGCCTAATTTTCCTACTACTTCAGCAGATGAATTAAATTCCTGAGAATCTTCATGGCTTAGGGGCTGCATAGTTCTCAGAATCCATTGAGGCTATAATGGTTGCACGCTTCTTGGGTAGAGCTCCTATCATTTGTTCAAATAGTGTAAGTTACATTAATGCAGAGAAATCCTTCTTCATGGCCCCCAAACCCAAGACAGAAATGTGAATGATCATTGTGACAGTAAATGCATGGCTCTTGCCATTGTGTGTATTCTGAAGGGAAGGGTTGAGTTTAAAATTTGTTGATTTGATATTTGCTATGTGACTGGTATAATCTGCAGAATGAACTTGTGTGTACAAATAATTCATTGAAACCACAAGCTATGTGGATGTGAAATATGTTATATCTTCTTCAGATAACACTGAGCTAAAGTCTGTATTTATAACCTAGAATATCTGTTAGAAGTGATTATCTGTTTACAGAAAAAAAGATACATTCTTAATTGGGCACTAATTTATGGCTTAGAAGTTTGTGTTTAAGTTTTGTTTTTTTAAAAAATCAAATGTATGAATTACTTCTCTTTTTTATGTTTTTAAGTTAATATTTTTAAAAAAAATTCATAATAGACTTTTTTGGGTGTCTGAAGTTTGCTAGTAAGATAGAGGTACAAAATCCACCCATTTCCCGGATTTCTGTATACTTGAGGGTGTTTGGGAAAACTTGTTCCATGTCTGGAGCATCCTGGAGTGGAAATGGGGTTTGGCTTGATAAGTGTAGGCAATCCTGGGGTTCTATGGGAATGGCTTTGTGTAGACAAGGCCCTTAGTTCAGGATCAAGGAAATTGAATCCTCATAAGGTCATTGTTGTACACATTTTTTGAGAGATTGAAGGAGTTCTTTAGCTTATTTTTTCTAGACCTAGAATAAATATCCAGGGCATGAGATTCTACAAAGCAATTTCCCTCCAATCAAAAGAAATTCATCAACTTGTTGCAAGATGAAATAAAGTGGGTTGTATTAGCAAAAAGGAAAACATTAGGACTTGTCACTGCAGGGCTGGCCATACTCCACCTTGCAGATCAAATGGAAAAATAAAGTCTCTTTTTTTATTGCCAAGCAAGGACAAAAGAGAGTAGTGGTAGAGATAATCAGCACAAAATAAAACCATTTCTGAGTGTGCAATGTTCTAGTACTTTTCCTGAAGCGGAGTCACCTTCTAATGATGTCTTTCTCAGGCCGGTATTACAAATAATCTCCTTTCTTTTAGCAGCATACCAACCAACTCAGATAGTGCAGAAGCAAGTGGGTATGGACGGGATGTTGGTGTGTGATTAAAATTTGAGTTTGGAGGGCCAAGATGTAGTTTATAAAAAGTGGATGAAAAAATTCAGCTAAGCAGATAAAATTGAATTTCTTCAAATGAATTATTACTTATTTGAGGACAGGGATGTTTTCTGGGTATGGTACCATTCTAGAGCTTTTAAGTATGAAAGTCTTCTCAGAAGAAACTTGGAGTATTGAGGCTGGAAGATATCCTTTCTGTTTTAAACACCTTTGAATTCTCTATAATCAGCCTAGAGGTGCAGGTTTTATGACTGTTTCCCGTACACTTCAAATGATGTTATAATAATTTTACAATTATTAAAAAAAGACATTAACTAAAAATCAGAGGAACTAAATGGAGAAAATTCATAAGACAGCATTTCCCCAAGTATATTCTTTAGAACCCCATTTCTGTGAATGTTTTAATAAAAGGTTGCAGGGTCACTTCAGTTTAGGAAATGATCCTTTTGGAGATTCACAAGTCACACTGGCATACTGTTAGATGAGTTGAATTATTCTGATATGAAAAATCTTATTTAAATTTATTTAATCTAGGATTACCGTTTCGTGACCAGGGAACCCTTTTACATGGAAGCTAGTCCATGAACAACAGTTTGGGAAACGCTACTATAAGCTTTCTCAAATGGCCTCATAAACAGTCACTAACTCATGCAAGTCAAAGCTCAGTGAAAAATATTATTCACACTTACTCTTTCTTGTGCCCTTTGAAGAGAAATTTTGGTGTATTTACTAGTAGGAGATGATGCTCAGATCTTTTCCACAGTAGACATTGTTTTCTGCATTCTAGGTGATGCTGCTAACTGCCCAAGTTTGGAAAACATGGACATGGATGAATCAGCTTTGTTTGGAAGTCTGCCTGGGCTAGGCCTGGCCCTCCTGGACCGGAATCGGTTATCCAGTGAGAGCAGCTGTAAGAGCTGGCTCAGCTCCATGACGTTGGACAGCGAGGACGGCTACCAGACATGCACCTCTGAGGACTTGAGCAGGGGAGCCTTCAGCCGACAGACAAGCACAGATGATGAGTGCTTTGTCCCCAAGGATGGGGATGATTTTCTGAAGAGGTCTTCTTCCAGGAGGAACCGGAGCATTAGTACTGCCAGCAGTGGATCCATGTCTCCATTGTGGGAGGGCAACTTCTCAAGCATGTTTGGGACCCTGCCCAGGAAAAGCAGAAGGGGAAGTGTTCGAAAACAACTCTTGAAATTCATCCCTGGCCTTCACCGTGCTGTGGAAGAGGAAGAGAGTCGCTTTTGATAGGTTGTGGTGCACTTTCGTATTAGCTTATTTTGTAAATATCTCTAGACTTGCTTAGATCAACTCCACCCAGCTTGGTGGGAAAGTGCAGCTGGATTGCAAAACTGACATCCCATTTCATGGCAATAGTGACCTTTATTTAAATTTTTGTATCATTATTTTTGCTTCTTAAATCATTTTTCAACCGGAACAGCTCAAATTCAAAGTAGACGGTAGGGAAATTAAGTAATAAGTTAGATAATATAACAAATTAATGAAAGTGCCTGCTGCCTGCTCATTCTAGTGCTGCCTGTGAAGGCAAGAGTAATATTTATTTTCTAGATTATCCACGTTAAAAATTGAGAACTTTTTGGAGCCAAGTGTGAATAAGAGAATAACAGAATATAATAACTTTGGAATACCTTTTGTAAGTTAATTGGTAAGTTACAAAACTTTATGTTTGCTTAAGCTCAGTAGACTCTGGGGAGGCTTAATAATAGGCAATTTTGAGTGTTTCTGTTCAAATCTATGAAGGATTATAAACAAAGATGATCATCAGCCATTTTTCACATCCACAGTGACAATAAAGCAGGAAATATAAGACTTAATATGAGGATTTAAGCTTCATGAGATCCATGGAAAAATGTTGTCTATGATGGGTGCTGCAGAAGATTATAATAAGGTCTTTCTTATAGGCAGCCTAATCAAAATGGGTGGGAATGTCATTCTTACCCGATTCAACTTTTGTTCTGCCTGAACATTGATGACAAGTCTAGAACTCTCAAGATCCTACAGCTTTGTGATTTTTTTTTAGAACAAATATCTAAAAGATGAAAAATTAGAGTCAGGAAAAAGATTTTCCTCCTGTAGACTTTCACATTACTTCTCACTTTATATTATATGTTCCAAATAATTATTGCCTCAGCACTCTTTTGCCTATTAGTTTTGTTAGCATCATGTTACTTCTAGCCTTTCAATCACATTTTTATTCAATACCCATTAAAGTTCATGATTTCTCTGTTCTCGTGATACAGCTGCTCGTTACCAGTATTCTAGAGTAGATAATTCAGACAGTGTAATAAATAGTCCTTATTGATGTTAAACTCTCTGTGTGCGTGTGTGTGTGTGTGTGTGTGTGTGTGTGTGTGTGTGTGAGAAATAGAGACATTTGATAATTGACTTTGAGTGGAACTGCTTCACTTAGATAAGCTGAGTAAAGAATGACTTATTTTGAGAAATAAAAGAGGGGAAGGTATGAAAGCTTGTAGGATAAGAAATAAATAAAATAAAACATAAAAGATTTCTAATTGAGACCCGCTTTCTGTTAATTCTTTGAACTCAGAAGCATCCTGTGGGCTCTGCTTGAGAGTCATTCATATGAAAAGCAATGTACAGTGCATTTCACAGGAACAGTAGAAATCCTGGGTACCAATTATTAGATGCCTAGTAGATTAAAGATGCTTTTCATGTGCTGTCTGAAATAACCTTGTAGATAGATATTAGGCATGTAGATAAGGAAGCAGGAATTTGGAGAAATTCCCATGGTCAGTGACAGGGTTGAAACTGGAAGCCAGGTCCTCCTAGTTCTAGCCTATCCTCCTAGTCTCTCTAGATATTGTTTACTCTTTTGCTGGTTCTGTGTAGTTATCACCACAAGACTTCCTCTGACAGGAATACTTAAAATGCACAATTGGATAAGGATATTATTGTCTGTGGTAAATAGGAAAAAACACACATCTAGGGTGGCTCTTTCTCCTGGCCTCCACAAGCAAGTTTTCAGGTATAGGTGCATTCATGACTGCGTGGTTTGCAATAGACTGATTTTCAACAAGAGCTTGCAAACCAGTTGTGATTTGACTGGTATTGCTTATTTCTCATCACAGACTAGAATTATCATGTTAAAGATCTGCTTACATGAGTGCAGCATTTCATGTTAATCCTATTTCACCACGTCCAGGGGAATTAAATGTCACATTTATTTGAGGAAAGATGACTTTAAAGTCTTCTACAAAGTGAACAATGTACAAGAACTAACCACAGGTCATCTGGAAAAGCAGACCATTGGTCATTTGCGTTTCTTGCGACTTTAAGTGTTAAATATAGTGTAATACTTCTTTCCTACAATAAACGTCAAACCCAAAAAGGCACAGAAAAGGGACAGAGCGAGTTTCACTGTAGTCTGTGATAAGAAGAATTAGAGTCAAGAGTTAGATATGTTCTGGAAAAAAAGAAAAGCACTTTTTAACCAAAGTACAGGAAGGAAGGGTATGTCATGTTTTGTGTGAACACAAGTTGTAAGAAAACTATCTGTCGTTAAGTGGAAATGTGGGTAAATTTCTCACGGCATAGCTTTTAGCTTTTCAAACTTGACCTCAGTGGGGCTTTAGTAGATTTTATTTCTCTAGACTTCTGGTGCACAATGACTCATTTTGATGTAATTTACTGAGAAAAGAAAAGTGAAGGTTTTTTTTTTTTTTAACCCCAAAGTTGTCAAATATGTGATACTGGTGAATTGCATTAATTGACAATTTGTTATAAAAATGCATCTTTCTACTATGGCATAAACCAAATTTGAATCTAGTATGGCTTTGATAAACCAAATTTGAAATAAACTTTTATTCATCACTTTTTACTTTGCAATGCTTATATATCTTAGTTGCATGATACAAACAGTATTAAAAATCTTAATTTAAACTGAAGAAATCAAACTTGGACACAGTTTGTATGTATTTATCATAAAGTATAAGTATTTAGGGATGTATACAATCTAAGTACAGTAAATAATACATAAAAAGTATATTGAACCCTTCAGATCACAAAATTATTGATACTTCATATCCATTCCTTACAGAACTATGGGCAATAAAACACAAATTGGATACCTTTCTGAAATAATGAATGCTATTCTTCAGTGTCAGAACTTTCTCACTTCTCTCTCTCTCTCTCTTTACCTACCTACCTTAAATGCAATAGTTATTTTAAAAGCAGATTCGTTAAAATCTGGGGTGACCTCTTGATGCTTACTTCTTTGAGATTCTCAAAAGGCATTACCTACTTAATTGAGGCTTTGCACTTGTATTAACTTTCTGTGGGTGTTTAACAAAGTGCTACAGACTTAGAGACTTAAAACACATTTATTATCTCAATGTTTTCATGGGTCAGGAGTATGGGCAAAGTTCAGCTGGGTCTGCTCAGGGTCTCACAAGGCTGCAATCAAGCTGTCACCCAGGATTGGGTTCTCAACTGGAGGCTTGACTGGGGAAGGATTTACTATTAAGCTCTCTTAGGTTGTTGTCAAAATCGTTTCCTTGTCACCATAAGATTCATGGCAGCTTGCTTATTAAAGCGAGCAATGGAAAGAAAGAAAGACGTCAAGCAAGACGAAGTCTCTCTCAAATAATGCAATGTAACCACAGGAGTGACATCTCATCATCTTCCCATATGGCAGGACATAATCACACAGGAGTGACATCTTATCAACTGTGCCGTATTCTGTTTGTTAGGCACAAGTCACAGGACCCATCCACACTCAAGAAGCAGGGATTACACAAAGGCATGAACATCAGGAGGTGGGGATCAGCAGGCTACCTTAGAGTGTGTTCACAACACCATTCAAGGAGTTTACAAGCTTGATAATAGAAAGATATTGAGTCATCTCTAAATTCCTCTGAGTGAAAATAAGTGGTGGATGTTACCACTTCTAATTTTTTTTGTGTGTGAGGAAGATCTGCCCTAAGCTAACATCCGATGCCAATCCTCCTCTTTTTTTTTGCTGAGGAAGACTGGCCCTGGGCTAACGTCCAGGTCCATCTCCCTCTACTTTATATTGGACGCCGCCACAGCATGGCCTGACAAGCGCTGCGTCAGTGCGTGCCCAGGATCCAACCCTCTGAACCCTCGGGCCGCCGCAGCAGAGCACTTAACCGCTACACCACCGGGCCGGCCCCATCATTTTTAATTTTTATATAGAGAACTGGTAAGATTAAGGATCTTTGAAATTAAAGAGCCTGGCCAAGACTGTATAACTAGCCAAAAAGCTGGGCAGGAAACTGAATCCAGGTCTCTTATTGGCCTCCCAATTTTGTTCCTGAGGCACATGAAATGATAGGAGATTTTAAAAGAATATTAAAGAGTGAACTAGTTACTTGCTTTCAAATTTTGCTCAGAGAATCTGAACGTATTTAAGTAAATTCAGTGATTGGCGTTGGACTTGATCACTTCTATGTGAATACATCTTTATGAGTAAAGGACAGGAATTCCACAGAAAAACAAAACAAAGCTTTCATAATCAAATTTACAAAGTACAAAAGGAAGTGATCAACCAGGAGCAAAAGTCAGGAGATATCACAAACAGCAGAATTATCAGAACTTGAGAAAATAAAGCAGTTTGAAAGAATATGAAACATGTATATCTTAGGAATAGAGGATAAATCCCTCAACCTGATAAAGAACATCTACAAAAAAACTATATCTAATGTCATAGTGATGAAAAACTGGATGTTTTCCCCCTAAGATCAGGTGCAAACCAAGAATGTTCTGTCACCACTTCTATTCACAATTGTATTGAAAGTCTTAGCTTGTGCACTAAGACAACGAAAGAAAATAAAAGGTATACAAACAGGGAAGGAAGAAATGAAACTATTTTTGTTTGCAAATGACATGATTGTCTATGTGGAAAATCCCAAAGAGTCAACAACAACAACAAAAATCCTGAAACTAATAAGTGAGTATAGCAAGGTCACGGGATACAAATTACTGTACAAAGTCAATTGATTTCCTATATACTAGCAACAAACAACTGGGATTTGAAATTAAACAAACAATACCATTTACAAGAGTACCAAAAAAATGAAATACTTGGGTATAAACTTGACACATTATATATAAGATCTATATGTGGAAAACTCAGATGAAAGAAATTCAAGAGAATCTAAATGAATAGAAGATATTCTGTGTTCCTGGATTAGAAGACTCAATAGTATTAAGATGTCAGTTCTTCCTGACTTAATCTATAAATTTAGTGAAATTCCAATCAAATTTTAGCAAGCTATTCTGTAGACATTGACAAACTGATTCTCAAGTTTTTATGAAAGGCAAAAGGCCTTGAATAGTCAATGTACTACAGAAGAAGAAGAAGCAGAAGAAGAAGAGGAAGGAGGAAAAGGAGGAGGAGAAGGAGGAGAAGGAGGAGGAGAAGAAAGCCGGAGGAATCACAATACCCAATTTCTAGACTTTCTATAAATCTATAACGATTAAGACAGCATGGCATTGGCAAAACAATAGACATGTAGATCAATGAAACAGAGTAGAGTGTCCAGAAATAGACTCATACAAATATAGTCACTGATCTTTGACAAGGGAGTAAAGGCGGTTAAATGGAGAAAGAACAGTGTTTTCAGCAAATGGTTCTGGAACAATTGCACATAATATGTGAGACCTTACACATTTCACAAAAGTAACAAAAAATGGATCATAGACCTAGATGTAAAACATGAAACTTCTGGAAGATAACATAGGAGAAAGTCTAGATGTCCTTGCATTAGGTAATGAATTTTTAGATATGCCAAAAGGATGATTCATGAAAGAAAAAGTTGATGCATGGACTTTGTTAACATTAAAAACTTCTGCTTTGGGAAAGATATTGTTAAGACAATCAAAAGAAAAGTCAGAGATTGGCGGAAAATATTTGCAAAACATGTATTTGAAAAAGCATTTGTATTTAAAACATAAAAAGAACTTTTAAACTTCAAAAACAAGAACACAAACAACCCAATTAAAACATGTTCAAAAAATCTGAACAAACACGTCTCCAAAGAGGACATATAGATGGCAAATAAGTACATTAAAAGAGCTCAGTATCTTTTATCATTTGGGATTTGCAAATTAAAATGACAATCAGATACTATTACATGGCTATTAGGATCACTAAAATCCAAAAAACTAACAACACCAATTTTGGAGCCACAGGAATGCCCTTTCAGTGCTGGTGGGAAAGCAAAATGGTACAGCCACTTTGGAAGAAAGTTCAGCAGTTTTTTTACAAAGCTAAAGATAGTCTTATCATATGATCCAGCAATCACACTTCTAGGTATTTACTCCACTG